GTTCAGATGGCAATAGCAAAACTCCCTGAAATAAAGCAGTATATAAGAAAAAGATGTGTTGATAGTGGGAAAGGAAACTGTAATCGTTGTGTTTTTTTCACCAGGGAAAAAGGATTTAAAATAGTGATTCATCTGTAGTATTATAAATTGTATTATAGTTCAAGAAAAAAATTTAATTGGAATAATCCCAGACAGTGTTCTATACAGTTAAGGTAAAACAGTCTATTCACAAAATGTATGGTTACCTAAAGCATTTATTATTTCTCAGAAATGGTTGTAGATTAATCAGGGGGTGGTCATATCCATGGTGGTTTTTCAGCACTCTTGCTCTACCACAGAGAAAGCCCATGTCATTTCTCCTTCCTTTAAATATGACGTTATCTACCTTATTGCTGGATAACAGAAGAAGCCTGTAGAATCCTGCTGTAATTTAACTACAAAATTACTCTTTTTTTCATACCACTATCTTAATGAGGTGTTCTTTATTTATTATTTTGCTGTTTTGTTTTCTTGCTTTCCAAACTTACAGTATTGCTACGGAGCCAGATTTTAAAAGCCCAGAAATATCTTCTGCAGACATGTCAGTCCAAAATTTTAACCAAGAAATAAGCAAAAATTATATATATGGGTTTTTTTCTGTTGATGTTAACTCTACTTTATACTGAAATAACATTCTCCTAAAGTTATTAAAACCAAGATCTGCCTCCTCAATTTCATCTCCATTCTCAGTTAGATGTACATCATTTGCTTTTATGAAAGTTTTCTGATATTTGTGCTAGTTCCCTTGGCCCAGTGGCACAACAAAATGTCCAGCAACAAAATATCCTTGATAGATTATCTTGTTTAGAGAAGATACAGTCACAAAAGAATATGAGAATCAACCCTTAGTTTACATTGAAAAGTATTATATAACCCCCCTGAAAATATCAGTTCTGGGTTTATTCTTTCCCTGGATCCATTTGCAACATGGAAATTTGGGCAAGGTACCTTTGCCCTCCACAAGGCCAAAAATTTCCTCAGTGATATTTCTTCTGGCAGCCCCTCTCCCAAGTCCCATTAGCTGTAGCTATGAGCTCTCTTTTGCTCTGAATCCCATCTCTAACCATATTTAGGTTATCATACCCCAGGGGATCCATCTCCCTCTAGGAACCAAACTCTCCGCTGGAAAGTTCTAGCATCAGCCCTTGGCTGTTTGTACATAATTCTTTCCAGTTCCCAGCCTCGTATGTAGCTCCAAGCATCCACTCTCTTTAATCTTCATCCTTTACCCTAGGCTGAACTACAGGGAGCCAAGGCCCTTTGACTCATCTAAAAACAAAATGATAGTTATTTAAAAATGCTTAATTTCCTTTGACAGCTATTCTCTATTATTATTTCCTTTGTAGCTCTGGGCTTTCCTTCGTCTGAATTCTAAACTGACCCTTAGACAATACACTCTTTGTCTTCCTCTCTTCCTCACAGAGAAGAATAATTCTCATGTCCGATATTTGCCTCTCATAGACCCTCTATTTTACATCTGTATTTTCTGACCTTTTCTTTCTTTCATAACTTAACTGTACACTGAGCCATTGGTCAAATTCCATGCTCCATCCAGGGACTAAACCAGCAGCAGCTCTCATGCTGTGTAGTTTCTGGAGACCTCCATGGATTATTCTGAAGTATGTTCGTGTTTATACATGCTTGTGAATAATGTACTGGAGAATTAGGAGAACAATAAAATAGAAAACATGAAGAGTTTAGGGTATTTGGTATCCAAACAGTACCAAAGAAACAAAATGATTCTTGCAATACTTAAGGAATTTGAAAATATTTGTAAATTTTTCTTACATATCCCTCTGCTTTTTATTCTTGTTTTGATTTTGTTGTGCTTTTTGTTATTATGTTTTCTTTTGGTTTTTGTTATTATTACGTAGCTTCTATTACTAGAGAAATTCATATTGCTATTGATGTTTCTCAAGAGCTCTCTATTGCATTAGTACAAACTCTACTGACATGAACATTTATGAAAAAAGGGTCATGGAAACCTGCTACATGTGACAAATCCCACCCACCCTGCATTGCTTCCCATTCTACACATTGTGTTCATATCACAATTAGCTTGGCCACGCTGTTCATGACAGTAGTGGTACAAAATGGCAAAAATATCAGTGAAAATTGCAAAAAATATCAGTGAAAATGGCAAAAATATCAAGTTCTGCCAGCTTGGCTCTAAGGTAAAAGGGTAGAGAGACTGGATTCTACTTTTCAAGTCATCTGCTGTCTATGCAGATTGTGGTTAAACCAGCTTCCCACTTCAACCCTTCAAAATCTGCAGTTAGCCACTGAGATAGAACAAAGATACTTAGACAACCTTGCAAGAAGGCTGGAATGTTTCATTACCTGAGAGTATTTCTTGTAAGGAGTTGAAATTAGATGGATGATCTTTGTCCTTAGATGAATCTTCTGGGCACAGTGACTGATTTTGCAAGAGCTGTATCCTGAAATACAGACTTTAAGGCCTGTTCAGCGATAGATATAACCGGGACCTGCCCCAAAAATGCCAGGATTTAAGAAATATCTCCTCAGGATGAGTCTTAGCTGCCTCAGCTGATACATGATGCATTTTAAAGCATGTGCATAGGCCACTTAGGGATAATGGAATGAGGAGTCAGAAATCAAGTTCACACTAAATTAAGACTCAAAGTTAAGACCAAAACCACTTCAGGGTTTGAACTTTATTTCGTGCTGGTGAAAGTCTTACATCCTGTGACTCTTGGAGCACACTAGGACATTTTAACCAGTCAGGTTTTCTCTTTTTTTTCTGAAATAAATATGAAGAAATTACTCATATGAAATGTTGATACTACAGCATCATACTGGCAGGTCTTATAATGAAGCATGTTTGAAAAAAAACTGTGAATCAATGACTAGAGATTCATATAAACAATATTTTAGTGCAGAAAAAAAGTGCTGTGTTTTGTGAAAAGACTGGCATTCTTCTAAATGCTACTGGAGACAATGAATCAGTAGAATAAGTACCCCATTGTATTGGGTAACTTTATTTAACCTCTGACACTGACTGTAAGTGAAATGAGCTTGTTATTATATGTGAAGCCATAATGCCAGATTTTCTATGATATGCCAAAAGAGTGCATTCCCATTGAGTAACTGCTAATTGAAATCCTTTTGTCATTATTTCAACACACAAAGTAGAGCTGAAAATGTAATTGGTCTGATTCCTGAAAATCTTGAAGGAAAGTAGTATACTTAGCTATGCTTTGTACATTACAAGGCATACCTTTCAGGATCTTGACCTCTAGAATTACTTATTCCTTCTGTTAACTGGTGAAGCTTTCAAATGTGGTGATCTAGGCACTTAGGGATGGACTCTTGGCAGAAGAGGAAAACATACATGCTACCTCTTATAGCTAGTCAAAAGAAAAAGCACAAACGGGTGTGTTTGAAACCATACTATTCTCTGCAGAGCAGAAGGGATTTTCAGAAACCATCCCTACTCCTACAAAATTTCCAAAATCACTTCTTAGAATAGGCAGCCATTCTTGCAACTACATGAACAGGGCTCACTGTTTTGTAAGCCTGCAACTCTGAGAGTAAAACATCTCCATGGTAATGGATGAGTATGAATCTCCTCAGGCTGTGGAGAATCTAAAACCTCTGGAACCAGGAAAGAAAGAATACTACTTGTGTCTTGCTCCTTTCCTAAACAATTACAATATTACTATGTCATTATAGCTAGTGGTCCATTTTCTAAGTTTTTTAGATCTGTGCATGTATTTGAGGCAAAAATCTACATATAGTCATCTTTTGTTTGCAGAGCAGAAATGCTTTTGCCTTACTAATACAAGACATAAATATTTCTGAGGACTAGCATGTTTTTTATACTGGCGTTTCAGTCCTCTAAAGTTGTGGTAAAGTCACTTTTCTCTTTATATATGACTGGGAGTTGGAAGAAGCAGGTTAACTCTCAACTCGGACATGAATATGCCGGTATGATGTTAACGAGCCTGTCAACTCAGCTCCAGTTTCCAAATACACAAAATAGAATATTATCAACTGCACATCTCCAGTTCAATGGCAATTTTTAAAGGTTGTGAGATTTGGAATAGTTTTATTTTTCTTTTTTTTTTTCTTTTTTTTTTTTCTTTTTTCCTCCAAAAAGTAAATAAGTAAATATGAATAACAAAGCTCTTTGGAAAATTGTGAAGTTGACTTGACTTTTCCCATCCTGGTTCTATCTGTATTAGCACTAATTCTGCTACCAGAGGAGATTTGCAAAGTGTGAAACAGTTGACCTCATATGGAGACTAAAATTGTTTTTGGTTTTTTTTTGTACTAGCTTTAGTCTGATCCATGGAGTGAACGGTTGGACTGCAGTAAGCAAGCACCTGGATTAAATCTTGTTTTCCTGTTTCAACTAATAGAAAAGTATTTATTTGCTCCAAGTGCACTTCACATTGTAACCTAAAAACATGTTAAGTGTGGATGATCAGTACATTGAAAAGGACACTGCTGGTGCAAACTAAAACACTAACGTAATTGCATGCTTAGCCTCTTGCAGGGGTATCATTTTTAAATGCAGGGAGGTTTTTTCTATGTTTTCACAGAAATGAGGTAGTATAAATTCCATCCTCTAATAAGACCTCCCTTAGGTTTTATTTCAGACTAGCTTCTTTCAGACCAGCCAGACTGATCAGCTGTGATATATCCCAACAGTCCCTCTCCCTCAAATTCTCAATGTTGTTCTGACAACTGATTTCTTCTCCAAATCTTTTTAATGCCAATTCTGAAAGAATTTGTTATAAGGATTTCAATTTTTCCAGACAATTCTTTTCTTTATCTTCAGTTTCTTAATTAGGTCATTATGATTTAACTAAAAATCTTGTGCAGAACAGAATTTGTAGTTACTTTATATCTCTGTGTCACATCTGAAACTTCTCCTTTGGAGAAGACCATAATCAGTAAGTAACAAAAATCACTGCAGCTGCTTTTTTTGAATACAGGGAAAGCAGTAGATCTGTGTGCTCCAATCTGGTGCAAAAGAGAAAAGAGCTTCCTACCTCTCAAAATTACGATAAAGGCTGGAAGTGAGGCCGGGAAGAGGACCTGTGATGAAATCTTACCTTTTGTAAATACTTTCACATGAATGGTGAGGTAGGAATATGGTAAGTCAGAGAATCTTTATTAAAGGGTTCTTGTTATATACACAGAAAGGCGACTGAAAAGTACATTCACATATTTCAGTTTGTCTGTGTTGGAATACTAAGTGGAGTATAACAGCAACTAGGCATTTATCAGCTTGCACTTGGGGCTTCAGAGTAGTCCAAATCTGTTCTTGAAATAGTCAAAATGTTTATGTGAAACTATGCAGAAAATTACACTAATAAATTTATATGTAAACTTTAAATAAAATGTTCTGATTGAGTAATCTCTAAATGCCAACCAATTCTACCTCAGCCTTGGCAGAGTGCCCACACTGGTTTTCAAATGGGATCTGTTCTAGTTCCATAATGCAGAATGAACTAAATCTGTTCATTTTTAAATAAAAAGACAACAGATTGTTCAGGCAGGTTGGTATCTGACTAAATAAATACATTTGTAAAAGTATTATTTATACATGTTCCAAATAATAGTAATAAAGGGCTTAAAGAGATGTTTGTACTCACATAGAATTCTAATAGTGGCCCCAAGCCTGGTTTTACAAACAACTGTTATTCTGTTATCTTTGTTCTATCTCAGTGGCTAACTGCAGATTTTGAAGGGTTGAAGTGGGAAGCTGGTTTAACCACAATCTGCATAGACAGCAGATGACTTGAAAAGTAGAATCCAGTCTCTCTACCCTTTTACCTTAGAGCCAAGCTGGCAGAACTTGATATTTTTGCCATTTTCACTGAATATTATGAAAAAGCCCCTGTCACGCCATGGTTGATTGTCAGATGCAATCCTCTCAAGCTTAGTGCAAAAACATTCCAATGAACTCTTCATACATGTTCTTGTTAGAGCAAACATGTATAAAATTGGTAGCACAACTGCATGAAGTGTTTACAAGTTAAAAGAGACTTAATTCTATCTCCTTGTATGCACCTGGAATGGCAGGACTTTCCTGAGAGCTATTTTTCAGTGCTCCACTTTTCCATCTCCATTCTGATTATCTAAAACAAATTTTAAAAGAGCAAGGAATTGTGAAAATTAAACAAGCTGCTAATGAAGATAATAATCATTTATGCAATGGAAGCTGCAGTTGATCTCTAGGGATCAGCTGATATGAATATTAGTTATTGCAGTCTCAAGATCTGTTCAACAGCCAGCATAATACAAATATAGAATATGAAAAATGTCAAGCTTCAATACTTAAAAGCAAACGTTTTCCACTTTAAAATGCTTTTTTGCAAATAAGATAAAATATACACTTATACAAATTAATTTTCACTTAACATGCTGTTCAGAAAGCCTGAAAAGACCAGAAGGCTCAATTTTTTAGTATAATTATATGACTTTCTTATGACTATCTCTTTTTCACGATGAAATCATCCTTTCAATTTTTCAGGAATCATCCAATAAAAATAACTTTACAGGTGCCACAAAAAAATATTAATATCTTTTTGAGAAATCTAGTTAAGGTTATCCTAACAAGAAGAAAATTCCTTCTGTTGGAGGGCTGTCTCTCTGCAATGAGTTAAGCTGATGCTGGATGTGGTGGTCCCACAAGCTCCACCAAGAAACATCTTTTCACAGTGTCGGTTGAGTCAGATAACAGCTCCCTAAGGAGTCCATTCCTCCAAGGTACATTTATATTCACATATAAATAATTCTCTGGAATCCCTTCTCCCCATTAATGCATGGCTGGATTCGTTGACATGAATATTATTTTCCCCACCTCTTTCCTTTCTCTGAAGCAGTCTTGGCAACCCAGTGTCAGAAAACAAGGGAGCAGAATGGGAACCCTGTCCCAGTGATCTCTTGCTACATTCACACCTAAAAAAGTTTCTGTCCTGCCTGTCTTAAATTGTACATGCATTTTTATGCATAAGTCATGAGGAGTCATAAGGTTATTTCACATCATCTCTTTCATTTAGCACATTAAGCATTAAGTGGTACATTTGCAGATGTCATGCATGTGGGTAGCTTTCTAATCAGTTCTACAAGACACAAGCACATTTCTCAGAAATGGAGCAGATGATGGTGTACATATGAAAACAATTAAATCAGTAAAGATCTTGAAATGAGAGGTTGCTAGGATGTTTGAGCATTCTAGCTGAAGAGGGTATCATTGCTTTGCAAAAATTTGTACCTGTATATTTGCAGAAAGAGCACAATGTCACACACAGCTAAAAACAAAAGCTGTTCTGGATACATTACATATTAGTGCCACTGCATTGTCTGGAAGAAGCCTAGAAAACTGATCTCTGGGTTCAAACATTGTCACTTACACAGCTTTACAAAGAAGATGGATTTTAAAAATTTATTCCCTTCCTTGAAAAAAAAAAATTTGGCTACACTTTCATAGGATGGGTTAAATGAAAATCATGATTTAGGCTGAGCTTGGGAAAACTAAAAATTTGGGAAGAAATTCCACTGATTAATCTAAAAATAGAATATCTTTGGGTTGTAAATGTCACTGGATAAAATAATGTGTAAAATCCAGGCAGCTTAAAAGCCAGTGTCACTGTGTAATTTATAGTACTATTTTTGTCTGGCATCTGCCCAATCATCTCAGTCTAAAACTATCCTTTTGACAGATTTTCATACTTATTCAGAAGAACTTTTTGTTTTCTGTTCTTCTGCAAATGCTGTAATAGATGAGCATCATGAATACAATTGCCAATTAGTATATTTTTTCTGTCTGTTTATCTTTACCCTATCTTAAAGGTGTCATTGAAGAAAATAAAGAGAAATAAGCATATGATCTCTTGTACAGAACAAGTATCTTCTGAGATACAGATGAAGTCACATAGAGAGTTCAGGAAAAAAGAAGTGGTGTGACTAAAAACATTTGATCAAGTTCAATTATTATGAAACCAGAAGATGTCATACTGGAAGAGCAGTCATAGGACAAAAGTATCGAAATTTTTGATAAACAGCTCTCTTATAATGGGAAAACATAGGAGAATAACCTGTGAAGGAGGTGTCAAACCAAGCATATAAAAGGGAATTTGGTTATTTAAACTTGTAAGATATTTCTGTCACACTTAAATGGCCTATGCCTTTGACAACAGCAATTTTAAGTCCCAAAAGCCTTTTACTGATATTACTGATATCCTTTTGAATAAACATTTAGAAAGCATGAATAGCAAACCATTCTGTTTTTTTCCATAGTAAAAAGAAAGTGTGATTGTAACATTTAGGCATAAAAAGGAACAGAATTGGACTGTGTTGGCAAGAAAAGTCACACAACAATATGGGCAAGACAGACCATGCAATTAACCAACCAGATTCTATAAATGTTATTAATACCAAATGGGAAGATGTAAATTCTCAGCAGTATCCAGTGACAGGACAACAGACAACAGGCACAGATTAAAATACAAAAGTCCAGGAGAAACTGAAAAAGAAACTTGTTTTCTTGGTGTCAGTGTTTAAGATTAGCTCAGCTGATCTAAGAATTTCACACCAATCTCTCCTGTCCCACTGTCAGCTGGCTGGATCTATTTGTTTGTCCAGGAGGCAGTGCAAGCACCTAGATAAACTAGAAGGTAACAGCACAAGATCACCTTGGGGCTGGATGAGAACTTGGAAAAGATAAGGGAATACAGTTCTTTTTTTGGTTAAGTGCAATCTATTATATTGGTTCAGCACCTCATTTCAGATGTAGGCATAGAAAATTGCAGAGCCTCATGTCATCCTGAGCAGTGCAGCCTGTATACATCTCCAGAGAGCCAGTAACACAGCAGGAATCATGAGTTCAATTGAATGAATAAGTGGCATTTAACAGCTTTATGTTTGGTACATTTGATGAGAAGGAGGCCTTCTGAAAACAGGGAAGGAGGATTAGAAAGGGCTAACAGCTAACATCCATTTGGGAACAGGTGGTGGATAAGTACAGCAGGTACACAGAAGTTAGCTCATGGGATCTGAAAGCTGACATGTGCCTTGGGAAGAAATAAGAGATTCAGAACTTGCAGCACAGATGAGGGTTTATCTGTCCTGACGTGGGATCCCTGATGAAGACTTCTAGGACAGGTCTCCAGTGAAAGGCTCTGCTTTAGTTAAATCATATTGTGCTTCTTCTGTTTGAAAAGCTCAGAAAAACAGTTCTTAGTCTGAATGTTACCCTTCAAATGCCACTAAATACATTTTTTCTATGGTCAGCTGCTAATCTCAGCTGTAGCTGAGGGAAAAGTAGATATTGAATTTGTCATTTGAAGGTTTCTCCATAGATGAATCCAGCTCAGGCATCCCATGGGGTAGCACCATATTGATGCTGATCTTCTAAGATTTTTAAGGAAGATTTAAGCTGATGTGTTAAACTTTGACAAAATTTGTAGTAGGTGCTAACATTTTCTACAGGGAAAAAAGTACTGAAAAACTAAAAATTACTCTGGGAAGATCCAGAAATCAACATTTCACCTTCAAAAACTTCAATTAAGTTTTAATCAGGTCCCAGAAAATACAGTAGAATAATTTTCAAGACTCACACACCTGAAACACGCAGTGGCAAGTTCTCTATTAGAGGTTTCAATAAACTCAGACATGAGATTGTATTTATACTGGTACTCTCCCAGTGTTTTCCCAGTAGAGTAGATGACAGTTTATTTCTGAGTATGCTGCCTGTTTAAACGAAATTTCTGAAATTCTAGCTCTCCTTCAATACAGCATAAATCTATTGTTTTTAATAAAGGTACACCGATATAAGCATATTGTGATTTGAAATATATAAAGCATTTCAAAGTTTTCTTGCACATTTAGGCAATACTTTCCAGTTCCTCCTGCATTTGGAAGACTTCCTAGCCCAAGGAATTGTGCTCATGTCCATTTCCACCTGCAGAGTGTATTACCACAGAATCTGCTAAAGTTGGTGTTGCAGTTCATAAACAAGCATTAACATAGGTTGAAATAATGACAAACTGGGTTTCCAAGGCTGACTGCAAGTTTTGGTCAACTTCAGAAATGAATATACATAAGATGAAAATTACCTTTAAAAACTGGTCAATGGAAAAGGTTGTCCAACCATGACATTTACTTAATTCTTTTTGGTCAAAGGCTATTTGTATTTTCATTAATCTACCCAATAATAGGTAAATATTGCCTGGCTTATTTTATTTTAAATAAAATTATATGTTCATATTGATTCCCTCTCTCTTCTGGAATCAGTGTGTAGAGCTGTTTTCCTAATCAGTCTTGTCATAAATAATCTCAATATAACAGCAAATATAATGACTTTTAATCAGTAAACAACATTTTGTGCAATGCAA